GACAGCCAGACTAGGAAGAGCGGTGTACTCTGAGGCCTCAGACTACCTCAAAACGAATCTAGGGGCCTGGTCGGCAGGACTCGGCCTCTCAAGAAGCAGTGCGATGCAAATTCCCAGTAAAGCATTAGTGTAGTGCAACAATAGAAACGTGGTATGCATCGACCATTTGTATGCACTGAATGCTGACAGCAAGCATGCTTACTAAAGCAAGCCAATTCTTAAATACACTTACCGTCTCCCCCCGGATATAAGCGCCACCCTAGGATAAGCGCCTGGCGCTTCTAATTGGCATATGGCGCTTATATCCCCTCCTCGATTATAAGCGCACCCCTTGAAAAAACTTGTTTTATTATAAGCGCACGTAAACTCTAAAATTTGAAATGTGTTCAAAAAGCTGTAACGATTTTTACTTTAGCAGGCGGATATGTTGCAGAATCGGTTCCCTTCACATTCGGACCCTGCACTGGATGCGGGTCCAGTCAGCAGGACCTGTCAGGAGCTGGATGTGAGTCAGATTGGGTGTATCTCCCAGCGCGCGCGAGAATTTCACAGACGATCCCATGTAACTTCGACTCGATTGAAAAGGCAAGCACGAGACCTACAGTTTGGTGTTAAAAGATATAAAAAAATATGTATGTCATTTTATAAACGCCGGCGCTTATAAATTTACTCGATTATAAGCCCACCCCCATGAAAAAACCTGTTTTATTATTGCCCCCCATGGGGGTATATCCGGGGGGATACGGTATCAGACTGCAGTGCATGAAAAGGCTACACTTGAACTACACAGTGCAAGTATGGCCACGGTGTAAGCTGTAACCCCATCACAGCAAATGGGGGGGTTACGCTCTACAAGCCGAGCCTACTATCTGGAAACGACTAATCACCACCAGCTCCTTTCTCCCCTCCCTCCTCTCCTTCCCCACCCTCCCCTTCTGCTGCTACTGTACCTGCATCAGCTTCTGCCCCTCCTCCCTCTCCTTGTGTCTCCCCTGCTCCCCCTGCACCTCCTGCTGCGTCCCCTCCCCCCACGCCTCCCCCACTCCCTTTCACCGACCCCACCACATCATACTTGAACTGCAAAGACGACTCCCAGTCCCTCAGGGTCTCCATTTCAGAATAGGTCAGCCCGGTCAAATCCCCCACCGCGTCCTTGGGATCGGTTGACATCTTGGCAAACGCGCGGCTCGCCTCCTTCCCTGCAAACACCTCGTAGGGACCTCCTGGACCGTAGAAGTGCCTGCGAGTGGGAGAGTGGGTTGGGTAGGCATGGTAGGATAAAATTTTGAGTCGACTCAAACATGGCTTGCCTGGTTCCTCTCACTCATCTTCCTGCCAAGACCTCATAGCGACCTCTCATAGGGTCTCCATCTCCGAGTAGGTCAGCCCGGTCAAATCCCCCACCGCGTCCTTAGGATCGGTTGACATCTTGGCAAAGGCCCGGCTCGCCTCCGTCCCTGCAAACAATTCAAGCGTTAGTGCCTCCTGGGCCGTAGAAGTATCTGGGAGTGGGAGAATGGGATGGGGCAAGGGGGTGCAGTGCAGTGTTTGTTACTCTGCCTTGCCTCACCTCACCTCACCTCACCTCACCTCACCTCACCTCACCTCACCTCACCTCACCTCACCTCACCTCACCTCACCTCAGCTCGCTTCCTTCCCTGCAAACACCTCAAGCGTTAGTGCTCGGTGTGCTTTGGTGAGCTGTAATTTATGAAGGGTTTGCGATGTTAGCGAGGCTAGTTAGGTTCGCAACCGGCGATGGCAAAGGCAGGTGAAGGTGATGGAGGAAATCCACTAGGGAAGTATGGTGCGGGCTTGCAAGTGTATCAGAAAAAACAATCGGAGAAGCCAAAGGGTGCATAACAAGCACTCACTGCAGAGGGTGTATGTCAAGAAAACCAGGTTTACATGCGATTTCACTCCCATTTGACATGAACTTAGACACACGGTAGAAAGAGCAGGCACTCACTTTCCACGAGTTACATCGTAGATTTTCCCTCGAATGGCCTGGGCAGGAGACGGGGATCGCGGAGAGGAGGGAGAAGGGGAGGTGGGAGCGGAGGAAGAAGGGGACGGAAAAAGGGAGGGGGAGAGAGGGAGAAGGGGAGGGAGAGTGATTACACGAAGAAGGGAAGGGAGAGTGAGGGAGAAGCTAATTTTGATGGAAAGGCGATGAAGCAAAACACTGCGAGACGATCCTGACGCCCATTTTCCCATGCCAGCAGAAAGCGCATATCACTCACCAGAAGGATCGGTTTCTCCGGGTCGCTGCCGCTGTACTGGCTTAGCTCCTCGAGGGTAATTTCCCCTATTTTAATCGGCTCCGGTGGGCCCGGGACAGGCGGCGGAACAGGCGCTGCGCGCTGCTGAACGTACGAGAAGATGACGTAGATGATCGACGCGATGAGGACTAATAACGAGACTGTTGTTGACGGAGCAAGCCCTGTGGCTTCTTGCACGTACGCCAGGAAGGTTTGTAACGGGGATAGAGCAGTCGACATATTGCTGTCGAAGAAAGAACGCGAGCTTTGTCAGTGACGGTGTGCGGAGGCAAGGCGAAATTGAAAAAAACGCGGATTTACGAGTTTAGGCCGATTTTCGAAACGGGACGATGAGGCAAGGCGAACGGCGCGAGTAGAAGCGAGTCAACACTACGAGATGAGCAGGAGAGCGGGGCTGGAAGTGTGTCTCGAGACGAGACTACTGAAGGCTGGGAAATTAAACAAGGGCAAGGGCAGGAAAAATAAACATCTGCCGTTGACAGGACGTGAAAAATGGCGCAAGGCAGCGGTGATCGCGCAGATTTGTAGACTCCGAAAAAGTGCAACCTCGCCGTTGACGAGACGAATCAGGGAGGATTCAACGCAGTAGAGCTGCGGGTTGTGTTATTGTGCTTGAGGGCACTTTCGAACCATCCAGAAACTGTATGGTTGTTTTCGGCGTCCAGGGCTGGTTCGACCCTGCGTAAAATTGATACTCGAATCTACCAACCGTAACAAACGCCATCCGACCTTTGGTTATTTTGATTTTCCCCGTTGAGGAGACACTCGAAACGTTCTTTTTGCGTTCCAAAACCGGACCAGAAGATGTTGAAACTGACTATTTGGTAACCAGCTGGAGGAACGGCGCACTCGAGCGAAGTTATATGCACACCCCCATAATCAAATCACACACCAAGGGCTGATACATGCTCATGTTTCCTTAAGGTGGTGCCAAGTAAAGAGAGGGCATATACTTGTGTTGCGTGCGTGGGATCACTCGAGTACATCTGCCTGACTGTCCGGCGGCGGGGAATTCACGATACGTCCATCAAGCGCAGCGACGCTCCGCGAACAGCGTCACGTTCTGTGGCGAATCCGGGATAGGTCCTGTCGCCGGTCTCTCTCTGTTCGTGCTGTTTGCTCGTAGGACCACTGGCTGAACTGCATCGCGTTTCGTGAACCGTCGATGTTGTTGTGGCAAGCACGCAGTATGATATCGACCACGATAAGGAATCAGGCTCAGTTCAGAGTCAGATGCGATTCAGGCCAGCTTTAGACCAAACTCAGACGAGACGCATGTCCGACAGGAGTCCTGGCCAGAGGGACGTAAGCAAGTAGTTGTACGCGCGTCAGCCCAACTATAGAACTAACATGCAGGCTGTATGTTTACAAGGAACCACCCATAAAAGCGCGTCAGCCCGTCAGGCTTAGCTTCGGGAGCACCAGGCTTGTTAATTCAAAGCCGGTCCAGGTCAAGCTGTCGTCAGCTTTGCGCCACTAGCCTTCGCAAGACGCCATGGTCCTAGGTAAGCCCGCAGTTAAGTTGCTCCTGTAACATGGTTACCCTGATTTTGTCACATAAGGATAAGCCCTTGGTCGCTCTGCTTCTGAAACTTCAGGTGTAGGCTCACATGGGTATTATGAAAAAAGCAAGAAAGAAAAGAAAGGTCTACCTACCTCATGGCCTCGTGGCACAATCATTGTCGGAAGTCCATGACTGTGTTGTGGCCGTGCCATGGCACGGCCACACAAATTTGCGAGGTTTTTAGGGTTTGTTATGGGATTAAAGGTTAATACTCTAGGGTTATTAAGGGATAAAAAAGCGAGTACTCTGCACCACATGTCATGTGCGTGCAGCCTGCCAGGCTTCTACTACGACGAGGCTTCCAACTGCTACCTAGACATGCCATGCCCGTTGTTGTCTGTCCTGCACTCTGTTGTGCACCCCATGTCATGGCTGTGTGTGTGCTGCATGTGCTGCGTGTGCTGCGTGTGCCTGCAGACCTACCAGGTTTCTACTTTGACGAGGCCAGCAACCGCTACTTCCGCCTGCCAGGCACCTAGGTTCACATAAAAGCATAACTCATGGCTGTGCAACCATTGCGTGTGCGTGCAGACCTACCAGGGTTCGACTAGGACGAGGCCAGCAATCGCTGCTTCCGCCTACCAGGCCCTCGTGGCCTCATGACATGCGTCTTGTCTTCTGTCCACCCCGTCTTGCACGCCCTTGCAGACCTGCCTGGCTTCTATTATGACGAGGCCACCAACCGTTACTTCCGCCTGCCCCGACCTGCCGCTCTGGCCCCCTCGCCCTCTCCGTTAGCAGCAGCTGGTGGTGTGCATGCAGTGGGAGGGGGAGGAAGAGGAGGAGGACGAGGAGGGGAAGGTGGAGGTGTAGGGAGAGGAGGAAGTGGGGATGGGGGTAGGGGAGGAGGGGGAGGAAGAGGTGGGGAACGGTATGGAGGAGAGAGAGACAGGCATGGCAAAGCCCACCCATCGTCCGCGACAGTTTCTGAGAAAGTTCCCACCGTTTTTCAGCTGCTGCGTGAGAGGGAGGCAGGAGGTCGCCGCTGGCACCCCTCAGTAGTGTCACATGATTCGTCGCCTGTGCATGGAGCACATTCGTTAAGAGCAGAGTGCACGTTAGAGTCACAGCCGGCCTCAGAAAGGAGGCGGAGGAGGAAACGAGGGAAAGAGCATGCAGAGGAGCAGCAGCAGGATGGGTCTCACCACACTTCCATGGAGTATGGTCTTGTGCAGCGTCGTTCGCATGGGGACGCTGTTGGTGGTAATGTTAGTTACAGTGCTCATAACGAGCGTGCTACTAATGGTCGTGCTGGTGCTGATCTTGTTGGTGACAGTGGTCGTGGGGGTCACGGGGCCCGTCTGAAGGCGGTTTCTTTTGAGTCGACTCAAAAGTCATGTGACAGTGGTCGTGGGGGTCATGGGGACTGTCTGAAGGCGGTTTCGTCGGTGTTTGGCCGCGCGTTTGAAACGGCAGCTCGCACTGCTGGCATGAGGAACCTCAAGGTGGGGATGAGAGAGGCGAGGCGAGGCGAGGCGAGTAATGGCGATGTGATGTGATGCAGGCATGGCATTGTGCATTTGTGGCAGTATGAGGCAACAGAGAGGGCGTGTGATGCAGGCATAGAAGTGATGCAGGCGTAGAAGTGATGCAGGCGTAGAAGTGATGCAGGCGTAGAAGTGATGCAGGCGTAGAAGTGATGCAGGCGTAGAAGTGATGCAGGCGTAGAAGTGATGCAGGCTTAGAAGTGGTGCAGGCGTAGAAGTGATGCAGGCGTAGAAGTGATGCAGGCGTAGAAGTGGTGCAGGCGTAGAAGTGATGCAGGCTTAGAAGTGGTGCAGGCGTAGAAGTGGTGCAGGCGTAGAAGTGATGCAGGCGTAGAAGTGATGCAGGCGTAGAAGTGATGCAGGCGTAGAAGTGATGCAGGCGTAGAAGTGATGCAGGCGTAGAAGTGATGCAGGCGTAGAAGTGATGCAGGTGTAGAAGTGATGCAGGCGTAGAAGTGATGCAGGCGTAGAAGTGATGCAGGCGTAGAAGTGATGCATGCGTAAAAGTGATGCAGGCGTAGAAGTGATGCAGGCGTAGAAGTGATGCAGGCGTAGAAGTGATGCATGCGTAGAAGTGATGCAGGCGTAGAAGTGATGCAGGCGTAGAAGTGATGCAGGCGTAGAAGTGATGCAGGCGTAGAAGTGATGCAGGCGTAGAAGTGATGCAGGCGTAGAAGTGATGCAGGAGTAGAAGTGATGCAGGCGTAGAAGTGATGCATGTGGTGGCGCAGGGGGAGGAGGAGGGCACTCATGTGTGGCTTTTGAGATGTCTCACAAGTCGCCTCTGCTTCTTTTGTTGTGCCTGCACCCTCCTCTGCACCCTCCTCTGCACCCTCCTCTGACCAGATGTGGCAGTATCAGGTAACGGAAAGGGCGTGTGATGCGGGCATGGCAGTGATGCATGTGGTGGCGCAAGGGGACGAGGGCGCGCATGTGCGCACCGGCTTGCTCGTGGGCCATCGATTGGGGGATGTGAGGTGAGAAGCGTGGAACAAGGGCGATGGGAGGTGAGGATTGTGGGTGGGTGACAGTGACACACTCTCGCTCATCTCTCTTGCCCCTTTCCATGGGCAGCAGCTCGCTCCCTCTCGCTCATCCCTCCCTCATCGCACCCTTGTTCCCAAGCAGCCTTCTGGAGCTCACGGATCAGGAAGAGACGCCTAGCACCACTCGCCCCACCACCCACCAGCACCACTGGCCTTTGCACATTTCCACAGGCAGCTCCTTCTCCCTCTTGCAATCCCTGCCTCATCACACTCCTGTTCCCCCTATCGTACAGCCTTCTGGAGCTCACGGATCAGGAGGAGACGCCTAGCACCACTCGCCCCACCACCCTCCAGCACCACTGGCCTGTGCTTCTTTCCTCAGGCAGCTCCATTTCCACATCCGGGCAGCGGGTCGCAACTTATGATCTGCCCAGGCCCCCTCCGCCTCCGGCCTTCTCAAGCTTGCACTCCCTCTTTCTGGGCTCGGATGTTACGAGCATACGCACGCTTCCTTGGGGCAGCAGAGCGATTGGAGATTCTGGTGTTGCTGCGGGCAGCTGTGCAGCGTGAGTGGGTGGATTGGGTAGGAAAAGAAGGGGGAGCAGAGGGGGAAGGAGAGGGCGTTTAGGTTGGGGCCTTCACGAGCTCGCACTCCCTCTTTCTGGGCTCGGATGTTACGAGAATACGCATGCTCCCTTGGGGCAGCAGAGCGATTGGTGATTCTGGTGTTGCTGCTGGCAGCTGTGCAGCGTGAGTGGGTGGGGTGGGTAGGTAGGAGAGAGAGGGGAGGCTAAGGTGTTGAGGGGCTGGGTGGGGCTATGAAGCCCAAAAAGAGCGAGTGACGAACGTCGCACTCGCTCTTTTTGGGGAGGCACGAACTGCCTAACTTTTTCTCCAGTCTAGATGTTCCTTTCCCCGTTCCTATCCTTCCTATCCTTCCTGTCCTTCCCGTCCTTCCCAGCATCACAACTCTAGGCACGGGGGGTCACCCTGCCTGTGTGGTGCTGGCTGGTCTGGTCTGGACCTCTCGGGCTCATCTGGTGCAGCCTCAACTGGTCTGGACCTCTCGGGCTAATCTGGTTCATCCCCTCCTACTGCTGCTCTTCTTCATGACAAGCACTGACCTGTGGGTCTGGTCTGGACCTCTCGGGCTCATCTGGTGCAGCCTCAACTGGTGACGGCGCAGCTGATGGCTCAACTGGACTTGCTGCTAATGGCTGTTTCCTCCTAGGCTCACCCAAAAGCGCCTTCTGCTAACTAACAGCTCTGTCCCTTCTTCCTGTCCATCTTATCCATCCTAGCATCACGACTCTAGGCACGGGGGGGCACCCGGCCCGTGTGTTGCTCGCTGCACTCGACGTCGCAGACTCTTCTGGTGGTGGTCCAACTCGTGGAGGCACATCTGGTGCCAATGGTGCCGCAGCTGGTGCTGGTGTTGCTAGCGCGGCTGGTGCGGGTGTTTCAAGAGGTGGTGGAAGTGGCAGGAGAGGGAGCAGCAGGCAGCGCCTTCTTCATTGGCAAGTGGAGAGGCAGTTTGAGTTGCCGGGCAGCGTATGGGCGTGTGAATGCTCGCCGAAGCAAGGGGAGATTGGAGTGGGTGAGTGTGTGTGTGGTTCTTACTTAGGCACCTAAAAGTAGATCGACCCGTACTACAAGGTGCACTGGCCTTGAGAGAAGTTCAAGTCACTACCAACCTACACTTTGCCATGAGAGAAAGCATACGCTTCCGCAACCGCAAGCACCACCGCATGCATCTGTTTCTCTCTCACTGTGTGTGTATTGTATCTGTGCGTCTCTCTCTCCAGGCACGTCACTGAAGTTGCAGCTGCTGCACGTGGAGACGGGGCAGCGGACAGCCCTTGAGGCGCAGAGTACCCTCTCCAGATTTAGAGATTCTCACTGTTTGTTTCCTGTAAACCCCTCCCGCTGCATCTATCTCTGTGCCTCTCTCCAGGCACGTCCCTGGGATTGCGGCTGCTGCACGTGGAGACGGGGCAGAGGACAGTCCTGTGCCACAGCAACAGTGACGTGCTAGCGCTGCAGGTCACAGGGGAGGTGAGACATGGGGTAGGTAGGATGTGTATGTGGGAGGTGCAATATGGGGAGGGTGGGACGGTGGAGCTGCTGCACGTGGAGACGGGGCAGAGGACAGTCCTGTGCCACAGCAACAGTAACGTGCTAGCGCTGCAAGTCACAGGAGAGGTGAGACACAGGGGAGGTGAGACACAGGGGAGGTGAGACACAGGGGAGGTGAGACACAGGGGAGGTGAGACACAGGGGAGGTGAGACACAGGGGAGGTGAGACACGGGGGAGGTGAGACACAGGGGAGGTGAGACACAGGGGAGGTGAGGTTCGGAGGATGTGATGAGATGAGACTGTGGTGAGACTGTGGTGAGACTGTGGTGAGACTGTGGTGAGACTGTGGTGAGACTGTGGTGAGACTGTGATGAGACTGTGATGAGACTGTGGTGAGACTGTGGTGAGACTGTGGTGAGACTGTGCTGAGACTGTGGTGAGACTGTGGTGAGACTGTGGTGAAACTGTGGTGAGACTGTGGTGAGACTGTGGTGAGTCGAATCAAAATACGCTTGGAAAAGCTTCCTAACTGACTACTTCTAGAAGCTTCCGTCACTACCTGATATATCTTGAAACGAGGCGAGTTTTGAGTCGACTCAAACTCGACACTGGAAAAGCTTCCTAACTGACACTATCTCTACCTAGAAACGAGGCGAGTTTTGAGTCGACACAAACTCGACACAGGAAAAGCTTCCTAACTGACTCCATCACTACCTAGAAACGAGGCGAGTTTTGAGCCGACTCAAACTCGACACAGGAAAAGCTTCCTAACTGACTCCATCACTACCTAGAAACAAGGGGCAAGGGGAAAAGGGCCTCTCGTCATCGCCTCTCTGTACACATAGCAGCGAGGGATCGAGCAGCAAGGAAGAGAATTTCCCCTTTCCCCTCTCAGCCCCAAGCACCCCAAGCTTTATTGAAAACACTTCTGAGAATTCTCAAAAGTGATTTCAATCTCCCCTTTCCCCTCTCAGCGCCAAGCACCCCAAGCTTTCCATCCCTTCCACAGAAAGCTCACACACCCCAACGTGCGACCTCAGGGCAGCACCTACCTGGCAGGTTTTCGCAACGGCGCCATCGCCACCATCGACTTTCTATGCATGTCAACCTTTCCAACCTCTCACCCCCTCCCTCTCCCCCTCCTCACCCCCCATGCGACCCCAGGGCAGCATCTACCTGGCTGGTTTCCGTAACGGAGCCATTGCCACCATCGACATGCGCGCACCCCTGCCTCCCCGCCTCGAGTTTTGAGTCAGCTCAAACCTCCTCCCCCTCCCCAACACCGTGTCACCCCAGGGCAGCATCTACCTGGCTGGTTTCCGCAACGGAGCCGTCGCCACCATCGACACATGCGCACCCCTCCCCACCTCAAAGCTAACACCCCTTTCATCTCAACCTTCCCAACCTCCCCCTCTTCCCCACCCCCCCTTTCCCCCCGCTCCCGCTCCCTCAACCCCAGAGCAGCACCTACCTGGCAGGTTTCCGCAGCGGCGCCATCGCCACCATCGACACGCGCGCTCCCCTGCCCACCTCAGCCAAGCAGCTCCCACCACAAAGCAAGCACCCCTAGCATGTCAACCTTCTGATCCTCCCTCCTGCCCCTTCCCCCCCTCAACCCCAGGGAAGCACCTACCTGACTGGTTTCCGCAACGGCGCCATCGCTACCATCGACACACGCGCACCCCTGCCCACCTCAGCCAAGCAGCTCCCACCACAAAGCAAGCACCCCTAGCATGTCAACCTTCCGATCCTCCCTCCTGCCCCTTCCCCCCCTCGACCCCAGGGAAGCACCTACCTGGCTGGTTTCCACAACGGCGCCATCGCTACCATCGACACACGTGCACCCCTGCCCACCTCAGCCAAGCAGCTCCCACCACAAAGCAAGCACCCCTAGCATGTCAACCTTCCGATCCTCCCTCCTGCCCCTTCCCCCCCTCGACCCCAGGGAAGCACCTACCTGGCTGGTTTCCGCAACGGCGCCATCGCTACCATCGACACACGCGCACCCCTGCCCACCTCAGCCAAGCAGCTCCTACCACAAAGCAAGCACCCCTAGCATGTCAACCTTCCGATCCTCCCTCCTGCCCCTTCCCCCCCTCGACCCCAGGGAAGCACCTACCTGGCTGGTTTCCGCAACGGCGCCATCGCTACCATCGACACACGCGCACCCCTGCCCACCTCAGCCAAGCAGCTCCCACCACAAAGCAAGCACCCCTAGCATGTCAACCTTCCGATCCTCCCTCCTGCCCCTTCCCCCCCTCGACCCCAGGGAAGCACCTACCTGGCTGGTTTCCGCAACGGCGCCATCGCTACCATCGACACACGCACACCCCTGCCCACCTCAGCCAAGCAGCTCCCACCACAAAGCAAGCACCCCTAGCATGTCAACCTTCCGATCCTCCCTCCTGCCCCTTCCCCCCCTCAACCCCAGGGAAGCACCTACCTGGCTGGTTTCCGCAACGGCGCCATCGCTACCATCGACACACGCACACCCCTGCCCACCTCAGCCAAGCAGCTCCCACCACAAAGCAAGCACCCCTAGCATGTCAACCTTCCGATCCTCCCTCCCGCCCCTTCCCCCCCTCGACCCCAGGGAAGCACCTACCTGGCTGGTTTCCGCAACGGCGCCATCGCTACCATCGACACACGCGCACCCCTGCCCACCTCAGCCAAGCAGCTCCCACCACAAAGCAAGCACCCCTAGCATGTCAACCTTCCGATCCTCCCTCCTGCCCCTTCCCCCCCTCGACCCCAGGGAAGCACCTACCTGGCTGGTGTCCGCAACGGCGCCATCGCTACCATCGACACACGCACACCCCTGCCCACCTCAGCCAAGCAGCTCCCACCACAAAGCAAGCACCCCTAGCATGTCAACCTTCCGATCCTCCCTCCTGCCCCTTCCCCCCCTCGACCCCAGGGAAGCACCTACCTGGCTGGTTTCCGCAACGGCGCCATCGCTACCATCGACACACGCGCACCCCTGCCCACCTCAGCCAAGCAGCTCCCACCACAAAGCAAGCACCCCTAGCATGTCAACCTTCCGATCCTCCCTCCTGCCCCTTCCCCCCCTCGACCCCAGGGAAGCACCTACCTGGCTGGTTTCCGCAACGGCGCCATCACTACCATCGACACACGCGCACCCCTGCCGACCTCAGCCATGCAGCTCCCACCACAAAGCAAGCACCCCTAGCATGTCAACCTTCCGATCCTCCCTCCTGCCCCTTCCCCCCCTCGACCCCAGGGAAGCACCTACCTGGCTGGTTTCCGCAACGGCGCCATCGCTACCATCGACACACGTGCACCCCTGCCCACCTCAGCCAAGCAGCTCCCACCACAAAGCAAGCACCCCTAGCATGTCAACCTTCCGATCCTCCCTCCTGCCCCTTCCCCCCCTCGACCCCAGGGAAGCACCTACCTGGCTGGTTTCCGCAACGGCGCCATCGCTACCATCAACACACGCGCACCCCTGCCCACCTCAGCCAAGCAGCTCCCACCACAAAGCAAGCACCCCTAGCATGTCAACCTTCCGATCCTCCCTCCTGCCCCTTCCCCCCCTCGACCCCAGGGAAGCACCTACCTGGCTGGTTTCCACAACGGCGCCATCGCTACCATCGACACACGCGCACCCCTGCCCACCTCATCCAAGCAGCTCCCACCAAAAAGCAAGCACCCCTAGCATGTCAACCTTCCGATCCTCCCTCCTGCCCCTTCCCCCCCTCGACCCCAAGGAAGCACCTACCTGGCTGGTTTCCGCAACGGCGCCATCGCTACCATCGACACGCGCGCACCCCTGCCCACCTCATCCAAGCAGCTCCCACCACAAAGCAAGCACCCCTAGCATGTCAACCTTCCGATCCTCCCTCCTGCCCCTTCCCCCCCTCGACCCCAGGGCAGCACCTACCTGGCTGGTTTCCGCAACGGAGCCATTGCCACCATCGACATGCGCGCACCCCTGCCCACCTCAGCCAAGCAGCTCCCACCACCGCCGCTCAGGCACCCAGCGGATCGGAGGGGGCTGGGGGGTGGCAGGAGGGGCAAGAAGGGTGCAGCAGGGGAGGTGAATGAGTATTACTGCAGCCACCAGCGGGTCATGCGCATGCCTTCTGCTGTATCTGGGTATGTTCGCCCTCTGCCGTCTGCCCGCTGCTGTATCTAGGTATATGTGTGTGCACCGTGTACCCCTTTGAGTATTACTGCAGCCACCAGCGAGTCATGCGCATGCCCTCTGCTGTATCTGGGTATGTTTGCCCTCTGCCCTCTGATGTATCTAGGTATGTATGTGTGTGTGCACCCTTTGAGTATTACTGCAGCCACCAGCGAGTCATGCGCATGCCCTCTGCTGTCTCTGGGTATGTTTGCCCTCTGCCCTCTGATGTATCTAGGTATGTATGTGTGTGTGTGCACCCTTTGAGTATTACTGCAGCCACCAGCGAGTCATGCGCATGCCCTCTGCTGTCTCTGGGTGGGTACGGCTGAGATTTGCGATGGCAAGGTATGGGCACTGCATGGGTCATGCCTCGGGCTGTCTGTCACGTGCCAGAGGTTAATTTTGAGATGCTGATGTATCTTGCAAGTCTTGATTTTGAGACGTCTCAAACGGAATGCGTTTTGCTGTCATGTGGCGGGGGGTTGATGTTTGAAATGTTTATGTATCGTGCAAGTGATGGGCATGGTATGAAGTAATATATCCACGTGATAAAAGTGTTGTTTTGAGACGTCTCAAAACAACTCTTTTAGTGTGCAAGTGATGGGCATGGTGAATGAAGAATAGGGCATGCCCTTGGGCCTTGCTGTGTACCTCTCTGTGTGTGCAGCATGTATGCCGCAGTCGCTGAGCATCTATGTCATGACTCTGCGCTCATGCTCTCTTTGTAGGGAGTTCTTGAGAATTCTAAAAAACTCTGCGCTCATGCTCTCTTTGTTCTCCTCCTATATTGCCATGCATTGGGACATCATCCGTGGCATACGGTGCATGGGACATGTGGCATGGTGCATGGGGCATGGGGCATAGTGCATGGGACATGGGGCATGGTGCATGGGACATGGTGCATGGTGCATGGGACATGTGGCATGGTGCAGGGGTGGCATGGTGCATGGGACATGGGGCATGGTCCATGGGACATGGGCCATGGTGCATGGGGCATGGGGCATGGTGCATGCCGCATGCAGCATGCAGGCAATGAAGCAGAGTGATTTCTACCTCTTCGCATCCTCCTTTGATGGATCCGTGAGTCCCACCTTTCCATCAATGCATTTTCTGCCACCCGGTATTCTTCTTCACACTTAACTCGTGCACTGTACTCAAATTCTCACTTCAGTTGATGTGTAGGTTTTCTAGAGTTCATAGAATTCAATTCATGCATGGGGGGGTTAGCGAGTCCAATATTGTCCTGCCATCTCTGCTTTCGGAAACCGAAGCCGTGATTGGTGTATGGTCAAGTCAGTATGTTAGTGTCGTCCTCTGTTCCTCCCTCCCTCACTCCCCACCCAATTCTGCCTTTCCCTAATGCCCTTGTTCTTCTCGGAAACAGGTGAGCCACAGTTTCGAGCAATCACAGTGATGGAAACACTCCTGTTCCTCTCGGAACTGTGGCTCGCCTGTTTCCAGTCACTGCTCTGATGCGTCAGCGACAGCTGATGCGTCGCACCAATCACCTCTCACTGCATTCCTCCGTGCCTTGTCATCTCACTATGATTGCTCGTGTCTCACATGGTGCCATCCACCCAATGGCAGTTGTTTCAATGGGACCTCCGCTCTTCGGCGACGCCCCTACGCCAGTTGCAGGGCCACAGAAACTCGCACTTCCACCTGCCACTGCTGCTTGACCCCTCAGAGAACTTCATATGTGCACGTGAGGCATGATACAAAGCCTTTGCTTCTCCCTTCGGCCTTGTTTGTGCAGCTGTTGTAACAATTTGTTGTGATATCCCTTTTTTTTGCAGCTGGAAATGATTATGAAGCTCGCATATGGAGTGTTTCAACTGGTGCCTTGCTGTCAGCGGCTCACCTCCCTGGTCATGCTACTGCTGCTCTTTGGCCTTGTACATCTGGTAGGTGTTGTTGTGTCTTCGTTATATCTCCGACCCCTTCATTCGTATCTTCATTTATACACAGCTTCTTTTTATGTTTGCAGGTTCTGAAAATGGTCTGTCAGATTTTCCTGATGGTATCTTTCTTGGTACATGCGACTCTTTGTGCTACTTGGATTTCTCAATGTAGTACACTCGAAAGTATGCCTAAAACGAAGTCAAATCCAGCTTGGCGGTTCTTACTGTCAGTGAACCGCCACGTGGCATCCGTAACTGTTGTATTTGCTCTAGCCACTCGTCTCGTCCCCCATGTCTCCGATGCTTTCGCAACGCAACACATTCCAGCCACATGTAACAAGGCGACACTGCTGCTCGTTCCCCGCCCCTAGCTGACCGTTCCGCTTGCCTGATCCCGCCAGCCACATTATCTGTTGGCAATGCCCTTTCCCCACTGCTTCTGAAACAGAACAACAGGTGGTTCAGAGGTTAGCTGAGTGTTCTCAAGCGTTATATTATGGTACTATTACTCTTTTGATGCTTCCAATTTCCTCTTGCTACCTCCTCGAGTTTCTCATCTGGTTTGACTCTGACAAACCTAGTGTGTGTTTGCTTCAAGCTTCTAGCTCGTTCTCTATCTTCTGCTCGCAATTGTCAGGAAGTTTGGAACGGGACGGATTGTGGTATATTTTACCTGTAGCGCCTGTTTACTGGTGAGCCACGCTCCACACCCTCCGTTTGAGTCACTTCGAGAACCGCATTTTCGCCTGGCACCGTACGGTGCTGTGTCTTGGTATAGCGCTGCAGCTGGTGACAGATCATCCGTAGCTGCGCGTTGTGACCTGCTTTAGCTGCACGATTCTTTAGCGAGAATGTTTCTGGTAATTTGAGGAACAAGCTTCGCCTGTAGGCTAGGACTCCGGTCATTGCGGTGCAGACGATAGGGGAGAGTAGTTTCGTCTACGCATTTCGTGTCTCCTTTCGTCGCAGAACCCATTGGTCGCCTTAGCAGCCATGGCACTCGCGGCTTTGCACCAGTCGGCCTCGTTGCGTGCAGTCCGTCTCTCTCCTTCCTATTCTTCTGAACGCCACGTCAGCGGAAGCTCTCCCTTAGAATCACAACTATCGCTTCTATCTGGAACCGCATCTCAGCAGCAGTCACTCAGCTCTCGCTCTCTCGTCGTTCCCAAGCTCGCATGGCAGCAGCAGCAGCAGCAACGTCAACGGCAGAGATTTCTCGGTTCGTCGACTGAAACGGCGGCTGGGAGGGCGACGACGCTGACAGCGACTTTGGCGTCGGAGAGCGAGGCCGCAAAGGCGGGCGCGACGCCAGCGAATTCAGGAGAATCGAGGCTCGCGAAGGTAACACGCCATGTTTCGTTTCGCGAAAGCGTGGGAGTAGTAAGCAACGTTGATTTGGCGTGAAGCAAGTTGAAATAGTAGCGATGAGTAACCTATCGTATCGCCGTACAGCAATGAATGCTCGAAACATTTACCCCGTATTCCGCTTCAACCGCGGTTGGATTCTAAGAACCCTAAAAAACCTGCACGGAAATTAAACCCCGTCTTCCACTTTGATAACGCATTTTGGTGACAATTTGACTTCAGTCGAACTCCCGCTCCCTCTCTCCTCTCCCCATTCCTTGCAACCCCCAGGTGCCCATCGAGCGCATCCGCAACTTCAGCATCATCGCGCACATCGACCACGGCAAGTCGACCCTGGCGGACAAGCTGCTCGAGAAAACAACTCCCTCTCTTCCCATCACCCATCCCCGTCCTCTTCCCCTGCTACTCCCCCTCTAATTCCACATCCCCCCCCCACCCCCCATTCCCCACAGGTGCCCATCGAGCGAATCCGCAACTTCAGCATCATCGCGCACATCGACCACGGCAAGTCGACCCTGGCGGACAAGCTGCTCGAGACGACGGGCACGGTGCAGGCGCGCGAGATGAAGGAGCAGTTTCTCGATAACATGGAGCTGGAGAGAGAGCGAGGGATCACGATCAAACTGCAGGTAACACTGAGTTCCGGGCAGGGTTTTGAGGACAGCATGGGCACGGTGCAGGCGCGCGAGATGAAGGAGCAGTTTCTGGATGCCATGGAGCTGGGGAAGGAGCGAGGGATCACGATTAAACTGCAGGTAGGATTACTGTTTGGTTGAATGTGGTCGTTATGAGGTGACGGTGCAGGCGCGCGGGATGAAGCAGCAGTTTTTGGATGGCATGGAGCTGGGGAAGATAGATGGAAAGAGGGAACAGCAACTTTTTCTCTTTGTTCACAGCGCAATGCTGCTGCTATTATTGCTGTCGCTCTTGCACAGCTACCTTGCTATTCCCATCCCATCACTCACCCCAGCCCTTGACAAAGAAGCGATGATGCCGCAATAAGGCCGAAATGACAGCTGCCAGGTGGCAGGCAGTGGCTGGTCCGTTGACTTTGACTTGGTCAACGGTTGAGTCCCTGCCTTGCTTTTCCTTGGCTGCGAGCGTGACATGTGCGCACAGCGAGCAAAGGTTGATCCGCTTTTGTCTGAGCTTCTGAGTTGTTACTGTCAGTCAGTCAGACAGACAGGAGGGGATTGCAGAACGCTATTGTCAGTCCGACAGACGCAGTGGGTTGTTGCGGGCTGGGCTGGTTGCAAGGATCGAAAAGAGGAAGGACATGAATTGCTGCCACCTGCCCCTGCCTGCTGCACCCTCTCCCTCTCCTTGGGGGAGGAGGAGAAGGGCGCATGCAGGGGCAGGGCGAGGCGAGCAGAGAGTATGACGTCCGTTACACTTGATATGAGCAACCCAAGGCCTGGATTTTTGTGACAACAAAAGGATTAGCTTGTGGAGGGGGAGAAGAGGGGGACGTGCAGGGGCGGGGCGAGGCGAGCAGAGAGTATGACGTCCGTTACACTTGATATGTGCAACTGAACCGACGACATGATTTTCATGACGACAAGAGGATTAGGTTTTGACATGACACAGCCTTCTGAGTCCTGGGCGTGGAACATTCATTCTTGGGTTGGGGTGTTATTCTGTGGTTAGTGATTTACCGACTGTGATTACTCTAAATGTCTCTGGAAGAAGCTATGATGATGGGAATGATTGGTGAGTTCTGGAGTCTCCTTGCTCCTTAACTCCCTCCACCCACCCACCCACCCACCACCAGTCAGCCCGCCCCTGTCCCTCCTTCTCCTCTCTCCACTCTCTCCTCCCTCCAATCACTCCTCCCCACGTCTGCACCACCACTCTTCTCTCTGCTCGTCGAATCCACCTCTGCTGGCAGTATGACAGACACTTAGCCAAATCCGAAGGCCTTCCTGCTCCTCTCCTCCCCTCCCTCTCTTCCCCCCCTCTCCCTCTTTATCCAAACCCCGAATCCCCTTCTTTTGCTTGACCGTGAAAGAAGGAGGTTTAGGAGGCGGGTTGAGAGGGGAGGGGTGGGTGGAGTTTGAGAGGGATGGAGATGGTTGCAGGGAGGTCTGATGACGCGAAAATGGTTGTCCGAGAACAAAGGTGTATGGAAGCCTGGTATTTGCCGCTGGTGGATCAACTCTGAGCAATAGAGAGCGGGTAAAGTGGAGCGACGTGAGGGGAGTGTATTGTGCTTGGGGGTGGAGGGTGGTGCATGGGGAAAGGCGGTGAGAGGGGTTGGCTGCCATGTGTGTGTGGGAGGGGGGCTGGCTTGGGGCGTGCTTGCTTGCAAGCTGCTTCAAGGGAGCTGAGGGTGCTGCTGACTGACTGACTGACTGCGTCGTCAGCAGCAGATGATGAAAGAAATCCGAGTCCTCTGAGCTTCGTCCTTGAATGCTTCTGTGCGTGCCAGTGCCCGTCTGTGCCCGTTTGTGGTTGCCACTCGGTGCATGTTTCCTCCTAACCTTGTCTGAATTCCCTTGTTCCAGTGTGCCACTCACGCGCCGTCCCCCCTATTCTCACTGCTCCTTGTCCCTCCTTGTCTGTCTTACCCACCCCTTGTCTGCCCCATCCCAACCCCCAGGCAGCGCGCATGCGGCACGGCACGTGTCGAGGGTGGACGGCGAGCCCTTGCCTCAATCTCATTGACACGCCCGGCCACGTCGACTTCAGCTGCGAGGTGTCTCTCCCTTCCCTCATACCTCTCCTTTTCGCTCCTTGCCTCCCAGGCAGCGCGCATGCGGCATGTATCAAGGGTGGATGGCAAGGCGTACTGTCTGAATCTCATTGACACGCCCGGCCATGTGGACTTCAGCTACGAGGTGTCCCGCTCACTGGCTGCCTGCGAGGGAGCGCTGCTCGTGGTGGACGCGTCTCAGGGCGTGGAGGCACAGACGCTGGCAAACGTGTACCTGGCAATTGAAGGGAACCTGGAAATCATTCCGGTAAGCGAGTTTTAACTGTAGGGTGCTGTGCTGTTTGAGTCGGGCCTAGGACAAGCACAGCAGCTGGCTGCCTGTGAGGGTGCGCTGCTGCTGCTGCTGGTGGACGCGTCTCAGGGCGTGGAGGCTCAGACACTGGCCAACGTGTACCTCGCAATAGAGGGCAACCTGGAGATTATTCCGGTGAGTCGAAGTCAAACCCGAGTGTGTCGTTTTTGTGAGCTGGAGGTTTTGTTGTATGAGTGGGCGGTGATTGAGCTCAGTAGCTCGCACGCTGGCTGCCTGCGAGGGTGCGCTGCTGCTGGTGGTGGACGTGTCTCAGGGCGTGGAGGCTCAGACTCGAGCGAACGTCCACCTGCCGATCGAAGGAAATTTGGAGATCATTCCGGTGAGGGCTAGTGGGTGAGGTTTCGGGGTTCAGGGTTTAGCAGGGTTCAAGCTTTAAGGTGGCGTGGAGGCACATGCACGAGCAGGTTCCGGAGAGTTGCATTCAGAGTGCATCCGCACTCCTCAACAGGGTTCCATAGTCCTCTTCCTACCGTCGCTCTCCTCCTTCCCCACTTTCTCAGGTGCTCAACAAGACGAGTTTTGAGACTTCTCAAAACTCACATGCACGAGGAGGTTTCTGGAGAGTGCATTCAGAGTGCATCCGTGCTCCTCAACAGGGTTCCATAGTCCTCTTCCTACCGTTGCTCTCCTTCCCCACTTTCCCAGATGCTCAACAAGATTGATCTCCCAGGGGCGGATCCGGAACGAGTGAGAGCAGAGGTGGAGGAGGTGGTGGGGCTGGCTGGACGCAGCAGACAGACGCCATCCTGTGCTCCGCCCAGGAGGGTTTTGAGACGTCTCAAAACACTTGAATTATCCTGTGCTCCGCCCAGGAGGGTTTTGAGACGTCTCAAAACACTTTAATTATCCTGTGCTCCGCCCAGGAGGGTTTTGAGACGTCTCAAAACACTTTAATTATCCTGTGCTCCGCCCAGGAGGGTTTTGAGACGTCTCAAAACACTTTAATTATCCTGTGCTCTGCCCAGGAGGGTTTTGAGACGTCTCAAAACACTTTAATTATCCTGTGCTCTGCCCAGGAGGGTTTTGAGACGTCTCAAAGCACTTTAATTATCCTGTGCTCCGCCCAGGAGGGTTTTGAGACGTCTCAAAGCACTTTAATTATCATGTGCTCCGCCCAGGAGGGTTTTGAGACGTCTCAAAGCACTTTAATTATCCTGTGCTCCGCCCAGGAGGGTTTTGAGGCGTCTCAAAACACTTTAATTATCCTGTGCTCCGCCCAGGAGGGCGTTCTTACTCCCCAGCTGATTGTCCCCTCCATCATCTCACTGCCCTTCTCCCTCCTGCCCCTGTCCACTTGTGCCGCACCACATCCCAGTTGCTCAACAAGATTGATCTCCCAGGAGCGGACCCGGAGTGCGTACGGGCGGAGGTGGTGGGGCTTGACGCGTCAGACGCCATCCTGTGTTCCGCCAAGGAGTGCATCTCTAGTCTTCAACCGTCTGTCACGTTCCTCTTCCTACCATTGCTCCCCTCCCCCGCTTGATCAGGTGCTCAACAAGATTGATCTCCCAGGGGCGGACCCGGAACGAGTACGGGCGGAGGTGGAGGAGGTGGTGGGGCTGGACGCGTCAGACGCCATCCTGTGTTCCGCCAAAGAGGGAGTGGGCATTCAGGACATCCTCGAGTCCATCATTGCCAAAGTGCCGCCCCCTGCTCCCACCAGAGACCAGCCCCTGCGCTGCCTCATCTTTGACAGGTATGAGGGGTGGGGATGCGGCAGGCTCATCACCTATCAAAGACAGGGCACCATGTGAAACCATTGTGCTCCGCCAAGGAGGGCGTGGGCATTCAGGACATCCTCGTGTCCATCATTGCCAAAGTGCCGGCCCCCGCTCCTACCAGAGACCAGCCCCTGCGCTGCCTGATTTTCGACAGGTTTGAGGGGAATGGAATGGGTGGGAGGGCAGGAAGGTCGCAGGGACTGACTGGGTGTGTCCTGTTCTTGAAGACAAGGTCACCACCATCACAGTGGCAGCGTGCGGTTCATGGCGAGTGGCTGCCTCGCTCACTGCTTGCCCTCCTCTATTCCCCCCCCCCCCCCTTCCCCCCCCCTCCTCTCCCCCTTTTCTCCCCCTTTTCTCCCCCTTTTCTCCCCCTTTCCCCCCCCTCCCCCTTCTCTATTATCCCCCACCAGCTACTATGAAGCGTATCACTGTGTGATAGTGTACTTCAGGATGGTGGACGGCGAGGTGTGCAAGGGAGACAGCGTGCAGTTCAAGGCGAGTAAATTGTCCTCCTCTCTTTCCCCCTCTCACTCTCCTTGGCCCCCCACCAGCTACTACGACCCATACCGGGGGGTGATAGTGTACTTCCGAGTGGTGGATGGCGAGGTGCGCAAGGGCGACAGCGTGCGCTTCATGGCGAGTGGCAAGCAGTACGAGGTGGACGAGCTGGGGGTGCTCTCGCCCACGCAGATGCCTGTTGACTGCCTCTATGCTGGCGAGGTGGGTGGGGGATGGTGGCCTGTGCCATGATGAGAGGGTGGTGTGCGTGAGGGGTGGGTGGCGAGTGGCAAGCAGTACGAGGTGGTGGACGACCTGGGGGTGCTGTCACCCGCGCAGATGCCCGTCGATTGCTTGTATGCTGGCGAGGTGAGGCACTTGATGCTGTGGTGGTGGTGAACATGGGGAGGTGTGGGTGCTTGAGGGCATACGCCAAGCAGTACGAGGTGGTGGACGAGCTGGGGGTGCTGTCGCCCACGCAGATGCCCGTGGATTGCCTCTATGCTGGCGAGGTGAGCTGATTAAGTTGTGAGGCGATATGATCTAGCTGCTTCTCGCCCGATCTGCCTCCTTCCCATGCAAATTCCTGTAGAACTCCTCTTTTCTTCTCCTTTCAATTCCCATATAACCCCGGTGCGCCCCTCGTAGGGGGGGTATCTCGCAGCGTCCATTCGCCAAGTGGCAGACGCGAGGGTGGGAGACACAATCACCCACGCAGGGGGAGCGGGCAAGGGTGGCCCACCGGCCAAGGAGGGGTTGCCCGGGTACAGGGAGGCGGTGTCGATGGTGTTCTGCGGGCCAAACGTTGATCTCTCTTTCACCCATACAGTGAGGGTTTCTGCTCTGCTCTTTCCGCCCTTCTCCCCTCCCCTCTCCCTTCTCCGCCCCTATCAGGTGGGGTATCTTGCAGCGTCCATTCGCCAAGTGGCAGATGCGAGGGTGGGAGACACAATCACCCACGCAGGGGGAGCGGGCAAGGGTGGCCCACCGGCCAAGGAGGGGTTGCCCGGGTACAGGGAGGCGGTGTCGATGGTGTTCTGCGGGCCAAACGTTGATCTCTCTTTCACCCATACAGTGAGGGTTTCTGCTCTGCTCTTTCCGCCCTTCTCCCCTCCCCTCTCCCTTCTCCGCCCCTATCAGGTGGGGTATCTTGCAGCGTCCATTCGCCAAGTGGCAGATGCGAGGGTGGGAGACACAATCACCCACGCAGGGGGAGCGGGCAAGGGTGGCCCACCGGCCAAGGAGGGGTTGCCCGGGTACAGGGAGGCGGTGTCGATGGTGTTCTGCGGGCCAAACGTTGATCTCTCTTTCACCCATACAGTGAGGGTTTCTGCTCTGCTCTTTCCGCCCTTCTCCCCTCCCCTCTCCCTTCTCCGCCCCTATCAGGTGGGGTATCTTGCAGCGTCCATTCGCCAAGTGGCAGATGCGAGGGTGGGAGACACAATCACCCACGCAGGGGGAGCGGGCAAGGGTGGCCCACCGGCCAAGGAGGGGTTGCCCGGGTACAGGGAGGCGGTGTCGATGGTGTTCTGCGGGCCAAACGTTGATCTCTCTTTCACCCATACAGTGAGGGTTTCTGCTCTGCTCTTTCCGCCCTTCTCCCCTCCCCTCTCCCTTCTCCGCCCCTATCAGGTGGGGTATCTTGCAGCGTCCATTCGCCAAGTGGCAGATGCGAGGGTGGGAGACACAATCACCCACGCAGGGGGAGCGGGCAAGGGTGGCCCACCGGCCAAGGAGGGGTTGCCCGGGTACAGGGAGGCGGTGTCGATGGTGTTCTGCGGGCCAAACGTTGATCTCTCTTTCACCCATACAGTGAGGGTTTCTGCTCTGCTCTTTCCGCCCTTCTCCCCTCCCCTCTCCCTTCTCCGCCCCTATCAGGTGGGGTATCTTGCAGCGTCCATTCGCCAAGTGGCAGATGCGAGGGTGGGAGACACAATCACCCACGCAGGGGGAGCGGGCAAGGGTGGCCCACCGGCCAAGGAGGGGTTGCCCGGGTACAGGGAGGCGGTGTCGATGGTGTTCTGCGGGCCAAACGTTGATCTCTCTTTCACCCATACAGTGAGGGTTTCTGCTCTGCTCTTTCCGCCCTTCTCCCCTCCCCTCTCCCTTCTCCGCCCCTATCAGGTGGGGTATCTTGCAGCGTCCATTCGCCAAGTGGCAGATGCGAGGGTGGGAGACACAATCACCCACGCAGGGGGAGCGGGCAAGGGTGGCCCACCGGCCAAGGAGGGGTTGCCCGGGTACAGGGAGGCGGTGTCGATGGTGTTCTGCGGGCCAAACGTTGATCTCTCTTTCACCCATACAGTGAGGGTTTCTGCTCTGCTCTTTCCGCCCTTCTCCCCTCCCCTCTCCCTTCTCCGCCCCTATCAGGTGGGGTATCTTGCAGCGTCCATTCGCCAAGTGGCAGATGCGAGGGTGGGAGACACAATCACCCACGCAGGGGGAGCGGGCAAGGGTGGCCCACCGGCCAAGGAGGGGTTGCCCGGGTACAGGGAGGCGGTGCCGATGGTGTTCTGCGGGCTCTTCCCCATCGACGCCGACCAGTTCCCCTCCTTGAGAGAAGCGCTGGAGAAACTGCAACTGAATGATGCGGCACTAAAGGTAGGAGAGAAATGGAGAAAGAGGGTGGGAGGGAGTGGGAAGGGAGGCGGTGCTGATGGTGCTCTGCGGGCTCTTCCCCATCGATGCCGACCAGTTCCCCTCCTTGAGAGAAGCGCTGGAGAAGCTGCAACTCAATGACGCAGCACTACAGGTGAGGAGAGGGTGGACGGAAGGAGGGCAGGAGGGAGTGGGGATGGATTGGGGAGGGATTGGGGAGTGAGTGGGGAGCAGGTGGGAGGGGGTTGGAGGGAGTTAAGAGGGGGCAACACCATTTCTTTCTCTTTTACCTTCCCCTCATTTTGCCTCCCTCCTGTGGCTCTCTCTCACTCTGTCGTCTGTCTGCTCCTCTCTCGCCCATCCAATTTGAGCCCGAGAGCAGCAGCGCCATGGAATTTGGCTTTTGAGGCTCTTAAAATAGCACTCTCACCCCCTACCTCCATTCTTCCCCTCTCTCTTTCCCCCTCTCTTCCCCTCTCCTTTTTCCCGCCAGTTTGAGCCGGAGAGCAGCAGCGCCATGGGCTTTGGCTTCCGCTGTGGCTTCCTGGGTCTGCTGCACATGGACGTGGTGCAGGTGAGGGGAGATAGGCATAGTGGCATGCTGGCATGGTGAGGGGAGATAGGCATAGTGGCATGCTGGCATGGTGAGGGGAGAGAGGCAAAGTGGCATGCTGGCATGGTGAGGGGAGAGAGGCAAAGTGGCATGCTGGCATGGTGAGGGGAGATAGGCATAGTGGCATGCTGGCATGGTGAGGGGAGAGAGGCAAAGTGGCATGCTGGCATGGTGAGGGGAGAGAGGTAAAGTGGCATGCTGGCATGGTGAGGGGAGAGAGGCAAAGTGGCATGCTGGCATGGTGAGGGGAGAGAGGCAAAGTGGCATGCTGGCATGGTGAGGGGAGATAGGCATAGTGGCATGCTGGCATGGTGAGGGGAGAGAGGCAAAGTGGCATGCTGGCATGGTGAGGGGAGAGAGGCAAAGTGGCATGCTGGCATGGTGAGGGGAGATAGGCATAGTGGCATGCTGGCATGGTGAGGGGAGAGAGGCAAAGTGGCATGCTGGCATGGTGAGGGGAGAGAGGTAAAGTGGCATGCTGGCATGGTGAGGGGAGAGAGGCAAAGTGGCATGCTGGCATGGTGAGGGGAGAGAGGCAAAGTGGCATGCTGGCATGGTGAGGGGAGAGAGGCAAAGTGGCATGCTGGCATGGTGAGGGGAGAGAGGCAATGTGGCATGCTGGCATGGTGAGGGCAGTGCTGTTGGTATGGTGGCACGGTCTGCTGCACATGGACGTGGTGCAGGTGAGGGGATTGGTGGCAGCATGCAGGCATGGTAACATGGTTTCCTGCGCATACACGTCGTGCAGGTGAGGCGAGGGGAATACTAGTTGCGTTGCATGAAGGCATTTTTATGAGACCAGTCCAGCAATGGCAGTCTTCTTTCCCGGTGATTGATCAGTCCACAGGAGCGACTAGAGCAAGAGTACAAGCTGTACCTGATCACAACGGCCCCCAGCGTGGTGTACCGTGTGGTGAAGCGGGACGGGTGGCTCATGATTAATCAGGCACCCACATTCTCCCTCCCTGCTTCCTCCTTGCCACACCTTACAGGAGCGACTAGAGCAAGAGTACGAGCTGTACCTGATCACAACTGCCCCCAGCGTGGTGTACCGTGTGGTGAAGCGGGACGGGTGGCTCATGATTAATCAGGCACCCACATTCTCCCTCCCTGCTTCCTCCTTGCCACACCTTACAGGAGCGACTAGAGCAAGAGTACGAGCTGTACCTGATCACAACTGCCCCCAGCGTGGTGCACCGTGTGGTGAAGTGCGACGGGTTGCTCATGCGTCAAGCACTCACATTCTGCCTCCCTCTCCCCCTCTCCCGCACCTCTCAGGAACGCTTGGAGCGAGAGTACAGCCTTGATCTGATCACAACCGCTCCCAGCGTCGTGTACCGAGTGGTGAAGCGGGACGGGTCGGTGGTGGAGTGTTCCAACCCCGCTGACATGCCGGATGCCTCTGTGCGCACTGAGATCCAGGAGCCCTACGTGCGGGTGAGTCCTCATGGGGGGTGAGTGAGTCTCCAGCTAAGGAGGATGAGCGGAGCGGCCTGGGTGTGGGTGAGTGTCAGGGTGAGGGGTGAAGCGGGACGCCTCCGTGGTTCAGTGGTGGAGTGTTCCAACCCCGCTGACATGCCGGATTCCTCTGTGCGCACTGAGGTCCAGGAGCCCTACGTGCGGGTGAGTGAGTCGCGTGGGGGGTGTGACGTGGGGTGAGTGGGGGGGGCGGAAGGACGAACTAGATCCAGCACCCCTATGTGTGGGTAAGTGGGTCTCGAGAGGGATGAGCGGGCTGGCTGCAGGTGAGAGCGTGCGGTTTAGGGGAGCCTGAGTGGACTCCCTTCATAGGGTCGACTCAAATGTAGTTTGAGTCGACTCAACAGTCTACCCCCAGGGACTACAGTGGCACGCTCATGGGCCAGGTGGAGGAGAGGCGGGGCGAGTGAAGACATGTATGCCCCTCTTCCCTCCCTCGTATCTGCTGCTTTTTCCCGTCACCTCTCCAGCTGGACATCCTAACCCCCAACCCAAGGATTACATCGGCAACTCTCATGGACCTGGCATAGGAGAGGGGGGGGCGGGCGAGTGAAGTAAAGACATGCTGGCTCCTCCCTATGCCCGCTCCTCCCCCTCCACCCGCCCGCCCCCCACCAGCTGGACCTCCTGGCCCCCAAGGAGTACATCGGCACTCTCATGGACCTGAGACAGGAGAGGCGGGGTGAATGGAACACATGCATGCCGTTCCTCGTTTGTATCCTCTGCGCTTCCCCCCCCCCCACCAGCTGGACATTCTGACTCCCAAGGAGTACATCGGCACTCTCATGGATTTGGCTCAGGAGAGGCGGAAGATGCTCCCTGGCATGCCCGCTCCCTCCGCTCATTGTTCTTCCAACCACCACCACCCCTCTCCAGCTGGACATTCTGACCCCCAAGGAGTACATCGGCACTCTCATGGATTTGGCTCAGGAGAGGTGGAAGATGCTCCCTGGCATGCCCGCTCCCTCCGCTCATTGTTCTTCCAACCACCACCACCCCTCTCCAGCTGGACATTCTGACTCCCAAGGAGTACATCGGCACTCTCATGGATTTGGCTCAGGAGAGGTGGAAGATGCTCCCTGGCATGCCCGCTCCCTCCGCTCATTGTTCTTCCAACCACCACCACCCCTCTCCAGCTGGACATCTCTGACCCCCAAGGAGTGCATCGGCACTCTCATGGATTTGGCTCAGGAGAGGTGGAAGATGCTTCCTGGCATGCCCGCTCCCTCCGCTCATTGTTCTTCCAACCACCACCACCCCTCTCCAGCTGGATATTCTGACTCCCAAGGAGTACATCGGCACTCTCATGGATTTGGCTCAGGAGAGGCGCGGAGAGTTTGTGGAGATGAAGTATGTCACCGAGTCGCGCACCACTCTGTCCTATGACACCCCTCTGGGCGAGGTATGCGCACGGGCGGACAGGCAGGCATGCATGCAGGAGGCGGTGGGGATGAAGGCACACAGACTAGGGGGGACTGGGAGAGACTAGTTGGCCAGGCAGTAGGGGGAGTGGAGGGAGGAGAGGCGGGGCGAGTTCATGGAGATGAAGTATGTGACCGAGTCGCGCACCACTCTGTCCTATGACACTCCTCCGGGCGAGGTAAGGGCACGGTGGTGGGGGTTAGGGATGCAACTAGAGCGGGGTAGAGGGGCGAGATTGTGGAAATGAAGTATGTCACTGAGTCCCACACCACGCTGTCCTATGACACTCCCCTTGGAGAGGTATGCAGAGGCACGGATTGGGGACACTAGGGGGTTGGGGACACTAGGGGGTTGGGGACACTAGGGGGTTGGGGACTAGTGGGGAGTGGGGGGCAGAAGGGGGAGTGCATGAAGGAGAGGTGGGGCGAGTTCGTGGAGATGAAGTATGTCACTGAGTCGCGCACTAGAGGTATGCGGAGGAGCGCTGAGGGAGTAAAAGGCAATATGGTTGGTGGGGGGGTGTGATATAGGGTTGGCGGGACAGGCAGGCTCGCAGGAAGGCAAGGGAGATGTATGGGGCATTCACACATCGCGCTGTATATGATACGCCATTGGGCGAGGTATGGGGGGTCAGTGGGTGTTAGGGGGCCACTACGTGGCTTAGACGAAGGGCTTGCATCAGGGCAGTGGAGATGAAGTATGTCACTGTATGTCACCGTATGTCACCGTATGTCACCATATGTCACCGTATGTCACCGTATGTCACCGTATGTCACCGTATCTCACCGTATCTCACTGTATGTCTCCGTATGTCATTGTATGTCACCGTATGTCATTGTATGTCACTTTATGTCACCGTATGTTACCGTATGTCACCGTATGTCACCGTATGTCACCGTATGTCACCGTATGTCACCGTATGTCGCCGTATGTCACCGTATGTCACCGTATGTCACCGTATGTCACTGTATGTCACCGTATGTCACTGTATGTCACCGTATGTCACCGTATGTCACTGTATTTCACCGTATGTCATTGTATGTCACCATATGTCACCGTATATCACCGTATGTCACTGTATGTCACCGTATGTCACCGAGTCCTGAACGCTGCTGTCCTATGATAGCCCATCGCGCACCACGTTTTCCTTTGGGAAGGGAAGGGACAACTTGAGCCAATGTCACTCATTTTCACACACCTATCCTCCTGTGCCCTTCCTGTGCTGCTCCCTTGGTGCCCCATGCTGTGTTGTGGCAGGTGGTGGGGGATTTCTTTGACCAGCTGAAGTCTCGCACCAAGGGTTACGCCAGCATGGAGTATAAAGTCATCGGGTATGCTGCTTGTACTGAGTTGGTTGGATATGCTAATATGGAGTAAAAATCTCACCAAGGGCTACGCCAGCATGGAGTATAAAGTCATTGGGTATGCTCCTTGTACTGAGTCGGATGGTCATGCTAATGTTGGGTACAAAGTTACTGGGTGTGCGCCTTATTCATTATTGTCTGGGCATGTGCTTCAGATTTCTTGAGATTCGTACCAAGGGCTATGCCTGTAAGGAGGACAGAGTCAAGGTCATGGGATAGGTTACTTGCCCACAGTCCAACCCACCTGACCCCACCACACCCCACCCCACCCCACCCCACCCCCCTGCACCCCGCTCCACCGCACTTCCTCTCTCAGGTACCACAGAGGCAACCTGGTGAAGATGGACATTCATGTTACAGCTCCTACCCATACCGCCCCACCCCATCCCCACCCACCCCATCCCACCCCATCCTGCCCCACCCCATCCCACCCCACCCCGCCCCACCCCACCTCACTCCACTGCTTGTCCTGCAGGTACCGCAAGAGCAATTTGGTGAAGATGGACATTCAGCTCAATGGGGAAATCGTGGAGCCGTTGTCGGCCATTGTGCACCAGGAAAAGGTGGGTGAGAGGTTAAAATACATTCTGATTGCCATTGTGCACCAGGAAAAGGTGGGTGAGAGGTTAAAATACATTCTGATTGCCATTGTGCACCAGGAAAAGGTGGGTGAAGAGGGTAATTTACACTCTGCTGACCATTGTGCTCCAAGAAAAAGTGTGTGAGAGGGTATATTACCCTTAGGCAGCCATCGTGCACCAGGAAATGGTGGGTGAGAGGGTAAAATACACTGCTGGCCTTTTTGCAACAGGAAAAGGGGGTTGAGAGGGTAAAAATACACTCTGTTGGCCATCGTGTGCCTGGTGAATGAGTAGATTACGCATCAGAAGTTTTTTTTTTTTTTTTTCTAAAAGAAACAAAAATCCAAACAAAAAAAAACCCTTGCTGCTGCTGGCTGCAGAGTCAAAACACTATAACCATGTTACGTTTCCCCCAACCAGGCCTACGGAGTGGGCAGAGCACTCACACAAAAGCTCAAGGAGCTCATTCCCCGACAGATGTTCAAAATCCCCATCCAGGTGCGTTCAGTGTTCAAAACCCCCATCCAGGTGCGCTCAGTGTTCAAAATCCCCATCCAGGTGCGCTCAGTGTTCACTTCTCTCGCAACCCGAGTTTCATGGTATCTTTGCTCTGTCCTCGTGGCCTGTCAAGTCAAGGTGATGTCCCCTTGTGTCTGCACTGTCCCCATAACATCCCTCATGCTCCCAATCCTCAGGCATCCATGCATGTCAGGTTTTCTGTTTGTATGTGTATTGATTGTGAAGTGTGTTAGCCTGCTGCACAACTTGCTTCTTCCTGATGTTGCATTACCTCGATTATCTCTCAAGCAGGCATGTGTTGGAACCAAGGTCATCGCAAGTGAAACAATTGCAGCCATTCGGAAAGACGTTCTAGCCAAGTGCTATGGTGAGTGCATAGCTGTTCCCTGCATGTCTGTCAGTTCTTTATGTTGCGAGACATAGTTGCTTGACAGGATGGTGTGCTGGTTGCAGGTGGTGACATTTCCCGAAAGAAGAAATTGTTGAAGAAGCAAGCAGCGGGGAAGAAGAGAATGAAAGCGCTTGGACGAGTTGAGGTGCCTCAAGATGCCTTCATGGCTGTGCTTAGACTTGAGAAAGAAAGCTTGTGATAGGCATAATGTTAAAACATGTCAAAGAAACAACTTGCATACAAGCATTTTTTCTGTGCTTGCATTGCGAATAAATTGCCAAGAAAATAACACTCTAAGAGCGTGTTCCTACGGCCTCATATCAGGAAACCTCGTATCAAGAATGCTGTTTTTGCCTGGTAAAACTAGCGAGAGGTTTTGGGTTTAGGGAAATTTTCAGTGTGAGCCTGATACGAGGTTATCTTGATACGAGGATAGGAACACGCTCTAACCTGTCACATATGGGAGTAGCCGTAAGGCTTTAAGGAATTTTCTCGACATTTCTTACCGCAACCGTCAACATTGCGTACAGCAGTAGCCGTTGTTTGCCCGTTACTGATAACGGGGCTTCGCCAACCTCGCGCACATTGTTTCACCAAACCTCGCACTGTTGGAGCAACCGAGTCGGCCTACGCTTCGGGACTAGCCCGAACCTCGCGCCAGCAAAGCACTAGCTAGCTCGTGCATGTTGGGATGAGAAAAGCCCTTATGATCTTTTCAAGGCTAAACTCTGAGTAGAGGTGTTGTAAGTGCGAAAGCGTTTTAATGATGAAGTGTTGAACCACCTTGCGCTAGTATATGAGGGCAACATAGATTGATAATAGAAAAGTAATACAAGCTTTTTATATGATTACAATGAATATGAAAGTGTGCAACTAACTTTTTTACTGCTGTTGTTGCGGTTCGATACAGTGACGACTCGGGCAACTGCTCAGTATCGAGACAGTTGTTTCTCCTTGCAGTCGCGCTGTATTTGTCAAGTCAAAGGTCGCTGACCTTTGACCTTCGCGTAACCTCCAGCAGTTACTTCTCTTGTCAACCTCCGATGGTTGACTCACCGTTGCTTCGTTGCTATTTGCTTCGTTTACAGTTCGATGTTCCGACACATCAGAAGCGTTAAGTTACTTGTTTCCAACACTCCCCTTTGCTTCTGGAGTGTCGCTGCTGGTGACGTGGCTTTGTCCAGTCAGCAGCATGCAGTACTCGAACTTCTGCTTTCCGAGCTTCTTGGTCAAATAGTCGGCTGCCATTTCGGTCGTGGGACTGTAAGATAACTCGAGTCTCCCCTTCTCGATCTCGTCTTTTACGAAGAAGTATCGCAGGCAGTGCCCTAGATATAAGACTTTGGAGTCTGAATCAGAGTCCGTTCAGACTTTTTTTTTGTACCTAGTCTGAACTCCAAGAATTTATTTATGTACCTTGTCTGATTTTCCAGAGTTTTTTCTTATGAGTTGTCTGAAATTTCAGCCTAATTTTACTAGGGTAGGCTGAGCCTCAGACTTGTATCGGGGGTTCACTCTGCGCGCTTATCGGAGGAAAGTTTCCTGGAAGTTTCCTTCCGTTATGCCCACTTCCGAGATGGCAGTGGAGTGCCAGGACGTGAGCAACGCTCACTTCGACAGCTGGGACATCCAAATACACTCGTTCGTTGAGAATATCTTCCAGTTACGCTGAGGAAATGGTTGCGTGATTACGAGATTTATGAAGACAAAATCTCGTCACATGTAATTTATCGCTAATGTATTGTAAAGAATAGGCGACTTTGATGCTGATTCGCTGTAAAAACATCTGCAGCACGCACTGGCGTGATTGCGAAGTTCCTGATTCGTACTGAAAGTTTCGTGTGGCACTTGTCTGATCCTCACATGCCACGCCAAGCAACAGTTCTGCCTGCTGCCAGCTCAGCTGCGTGGCACTTGGCCCACCTGATACAGATCGGGTGAACGATCGAATCGCTTGAAAAGCGAATCCAAAACTGACAAAATCGGCACACATGCGAGAAAATGGGTACAGAACGGTAATCACACACACGACAAAACGAAATGAGATCAGCAGAGCAGAAACAACCATGCGCTTCACGTGACAAAAACACTGGAACGCCGCCGACATGAGTAGAGGCGATGCACGAGCACGAGCACGTTGCCTGATGCGTTGGTATGGTAGGTTGTAATCAGCCTCAATGCTATTATAACTGCTTTTACGAAACTGCATGAACATCTTAAAATTTGAAGTAACTCTGACAGTTCAGACAAAAAAAATTGTGCTTGTCTGAATTTTCAGACTAAAATTTTGAGGCACCTCTGACAGACAGAGTTCCAGGAGGGGTGTACTCTGAGGCCTCAGACTACCTCAAAACGAATCCAGGGGCCTGATCGCAGGGCGATATGTTTCGTCCGGTTCGCGAACCCGTTCTTGTTCGCTATACGAATTGCAGATTGGTTGTCGCAGAACAGAGTGAAGCTGGGTAACTGAGCCAACTTCAATTCTTCTAGCAGTTCGCAAAGGTACAAGCCTTCCTTGGTGGCTGAGCAGAGTGCAATATATTGTGCTTCAGCTGAGGAGAGAGCGATTAGTTCTTGCTTGCTCGACTGCCACAAGATAGCCCCGATAGGTTCGAGTCGGTAGATGTAGCAGGTGCGTGAGCGCCTATTGTCTGCGTCGCCGGCGTAGTCGGCGTCTACATAGCCGATTAGCTTAGGTGTCGAGGTTCCATTTTTGTGGTAGATCAGGCCGATTGTCGGAGTGCTGACGAGGTAGTGGAGTGCGCGGTCGAGTTTCGCCACGTGCTATGCTTCAGGTTTCTTGAGGTAGGTGGCTAGCTGGCTTGCCGAAAATGATAGGTCTGGTCGGCAGGTGACGGCTGCGAATAGTAGACATCCTAGCTTTCGCAGATAGTCGCGTATGCCGGCAGGCTTGAGTGGTGCAGAGATTCCTTCGTGGCTCGCGGAGGTGTAGCGGTACGGTATGGAGATAGTAGTAATCCGAAGCGTTTGGCGATGGTGTCTGACAAAAGTAGAAGGAAGAAGAGGATTGCACTAGCAAGAATGGGGATACAAATAGCAAACCCTAGAGGGGTTGTACTCGCTATGGAGCACCCCACTACAGGCTAGAGCATAAGATAACATTCTGACACACCCCCATAGCCAAAGTGGGGTGTAATCAGCAGAGCAAGCAGAGCAGTACAAGCTCAGGGTGGATCACAATGTCACCACACATTCTGAGCACAAGTTCAAGAAGCAATAGTTTAGAGTTCACAATTATGAGCAAAGCTAGTGGTAGTCACAACGGACAAGTGAGGAGGTGGAGAGAGAGTGAGGGGAGAGGAGATAGGAGGCGACGGCTGAAGCTGCAGACACACGGGCAACAGTAGGCAGACTGGCACAGCGGCTACCGGGCGAAGCCCCCGGAATACTGGAGTAACTGGCCCCGCGGCTAAAGTAGCGGCAGAGGAGCAACGGACCCACGGGCGGCTGGCGTAGAAGTCTACGACTGGGCTACCGGGCGAAGCCCCCGGACTACAGGTGCTGCTGGCGACACGATGGCAACCTCCGTGCAACTTCCCAAAACAGTCCCACCCCCCCTGACACACACCCGCTGCTACACCGCTAGCTCCACTCCCACGCACCCCCCCTTAAACCCTAAACCCCAGTCTCCCACACATCCACCCCCCTCAGCGACAGCTGCAGCAGTGGGAGACAAAGGAGGAGGAGGAGCAAAGGGAGGAATGAGGAAGTGCCACCCCCATACTCGCCACCCCCTGCTCGCCACCCCCAAACCCTAACACAGACAGGGTGGGATGGAGGGTAGGCAGGGTGGGATGGCGGCGCTCGCCCCCCTCCCCCAGCGGCCCCCGAGGGAGCCGCGACGGGCGACGGGAAATGGGGCCGGGGCGCAAGGAGGGCGGCGGGGCCACAGGTGTAGAGCGGCGGGGCCGCGAAGGTGGGGCGGCGGGGCCGCGACAGAAGGGCGGCGGGGCCGCGAAGTGGGGCGGCGGGGCCGCACCGAAAGGCGGCGGGGCCGCGACGTGAGGCGGCGGGGCCGCGAAGTGGTGCGGCGGGGCCGCACCGTAAGGCGGCGGGGCCGCGACGTGAGGCGGCGGGGCCGCGAAGTGGGGCGGCGGGGCCGCGACGGGTCCCCGTCGCCCGTCGCGGCGCCTTCAGAGGGCGACGCGGCGAACGACGGGGCAGAAGCCCGCCGCGCACCTCGGGGCGCACAGCGGGCAGAGAACCGCCGCGCGCCTCGGGGCGCACGGCGGGCAGAAAACCGCCGCGCGCCTCGGGGCGCACGGCGGGCAGAAAACCGCCGCGCGCCTCGAGGCGCACGGCGGGCATAAGATAACATTCTGACAGTGTCGGCGTATTTTGCGGCGCTGAGATAGATCGCGTTCTCTTCTTCTTGTATGTTGAGCTCGAGGTATTGTGTCACGGTGGATGAGACGGTGAGCATTAAGTCCCGCTGCAGCTCCCCTTCGAAGCAGGTTGTGACGCCGTCGGTCGAGCCGATGTAGAGTAGATCGTCCACATAGACGATCAGCAGGATGTAGTCAGTTCCTTTCGTGAGCCGGTACATTCCTTGATCGTGCAGCAGTTGTCGGAATCCGATGCGGATTAGCCGCGCATGTAGGTACTGCGACCACAGTCTTAGGGCCTGTTTGATGCTGTACATAGACTTCAGTAACTGACAGACTTGGTTGGGGTCTGCATTGGAGCCGTGCGGTTGCTCGACGAAGATTTCAGCATCGACGGGTGCGTAGAGAAAGGAGTTGGCGACGTCGATTTGACGAAGCTTTTTCCGCTTCATGGCGTCTGCCTTTGTTTTCACCCAAAGAACCAATTTTCGGGTGAGAATGGTCTTGTTCCGTGCCACACTGATAGGTACGACCTTCGAGGTGTTGCGTTCTTCAAGTGCCTTTAACTCCCTGTCCACGGCCTCGCGCCATTTTTTCCTGTGCTCCCGCACCAGAGCCTGTTGAACTATGGCAGGCTCCTTAGGTGGCGCTGAGCCGTGGACTGCGGTGACAAGTCTGAGTATCTAGAGTCCACTTTGCGTGTAGCAGGGGAGATTTGCGTCCTCGCGATAAGCTGTTTCGTCTCCTGCTTCTGGATCGGGTATGAAATTAGGTCCTACGCGTTCTGCTTCATCGGTGTTGACTTGCGCGGGTGTAACGTAACCGTTGTCAGCGAAGTTGTAGAAGACTTCGG